TCTATCTATCTATCTATCTATCTATCTATCTATCTATCTATCTATCTTAATTGTGTATTTTGGTCGACATGGAAATTGACCATAGAGATGCATGTTTGAAAATTGGACACCTGTCTTTTTCTTTTATGGATGATGTATTCATCCACATATTTTTCTATGGCAAACTTGAGTTTGGCAGAAAACGCACCAAAAAAACAAACAAACAAAAAAACAATCAAAAAGCAAAATAACATGCTCTGGAGACTGTTGTGTTTTCACTCTGTGAAGTCACAAATACCTGAAAAAGAGCACCTTCCCTCATGTTAAAGGGATCTTTGGATTGCCTTGTAAATTTGTAGGATTCTGCATCTTGGTGGCAAAACTGCAAAATGCGTTTGTTGAAATATGATCCCTAAAAGTGGATGATTAGTTCTCACTTTATATCTGTGCGTCAGATGATAACAGTGTTCAACAGAAAAGCTCTTATTCTGTAACATCGTAATGGATGTTCACTACGCTCATGTCAAACTGTGCAACAGGATGTTATTCATCATTACTACACTAACTGCTTCTTCCACAGTGTGGTGCTTTGCTGCGGCTGTTTCAAATAAAGTAAAATACAACAGTGTGTGATTTGTAAGGATTTTTTGAGATAGTTGTTTCAGTTTGATTGTCAGACGCTTAATTCTTTGTTTTGTTACATGAAAAAGAAGGTGCTCCCGCAGATCTTCAGCAGGCCACAACAGATCAAAGAAAGCTACGAAGCCAGGTATGATTTCTTTCTTTCTTTCTTTCTTTGTTCTTTCTTTCTTTCTTTCTTTGGAACGCTGTCTGTCCTGTTGCTCTCTAATTCTCTGCGCTGCTCTGCAGATAGACGCTGCGTGTTCCTCCTACCTCTCTGCAGACATCAACTTCAGGGTGAGATGTACAATAGTTTACTGAATTATCGAGTAATTACACATTTATACAGTTTTTAGAACTGACAAAAGGTCTGTCTACTTTTATTTATATATGTATTATTTATTTTTCAGGCATCTGATGTTCTAGGAGAACTCTGTGTGTTGATGCTGGTTCAGAAATCAGAGGTACCCCAAATCTGATCCTCTCATCTTGCCTTAACATACAAGAAAGCAGAATTCTTAAAAATGAAATAGCTTTTTCATGGCCTTTTCTTTTTTGAGCCACAAAAAAATGAATACTTGTGCATCGACTTGAATCTATTTTCTTTGTGTTTTAGGAGCTGAGAGTGCAGGAAAATAGTAAAAGGGTGAGTGAAACTTTGAACTCACTGTGGGAATTGTCAGGGTTAAGCCTAATTTGTAGCGCGTTGTTTGTGCGTGCGAGTGGGTGTGTGCGTGCGAGTTTTTGTCGTCGCCCGTTGTTTACATGCTGCACGGTATGTGCAGTTTTTGTTTCACTACTCTAGACCACAAGGTTCTATCTTGTCACAGGGAGGGGTGAGTATACGACCTGATAGAAATACGCTGCAACAGTATGCTGCCTGGTCCAAGAAAATCCCTCATTGTCCTTTCTAACTACTTCTTATATGGTCTGCACTGCTTCTACAAATCTGGACTAAAATAATTGATTTCATTTCCAGTGCTGTTAACATGAGCCGTTATGAGTATCCGCATGTCAGTCCCCAAAACCTGAATGAATCCACATGCCAGCGATTGATGAATGATTGTACGCATGCAGCCAAATTACTGGAAAACATGCACAGACCCGACACACACGGATAGGAAATTAAATCTGGTGTCACTTCCACTGTTTGCTGCATGCTGGGCAACATGTTGTGTTGGGAAGCAACAGCATGGCTGCACAGCCAGCTATGAGTGTTAGTTGCATGAGAACTTGGATGAGTTGTCTGCCTCTGTCTGTTTCTGTCACACACAAACACACTGCGAAGAAACAAAAGAGGGGAAAAGATGGTAAGAGTCTAAATGATTAATGGGGCCTCAACTTTTCTGCTTTGCAATAGATAAGTCATTTTTACAAAGAAGCCACTTTTTAAGATGATTGATTAAATGTCACCGTGTTCTTGTTATATGTGAATCATAAATTTAGATTATATCAAACTAGTAGAAACATAAATATTAACATTCACTGGTCTGGAATCAACTCTTCAGTCTATATGTGGGTGACACAGACATAGTTTATGTACATGTGCTGAAACCAGCATACTCACCGAGCATCCCACAGTACACAATCACTCCACTCAGTTTTTATGGAGCAACATATTGCTTTCAATGAGATGTTAAACTGAATAAAGTCTTCTTTGAAAGTATGTTAAATAACACAATTTGAATTGAATTGAATTGAATTGAATATACTTTATTGATCTCCAGGGAGAAATTGACTTCCAGTACAGCCCGTACCAAGATCAAACAAACAAAACACATAGACACACCAGTTCGGGAAGACTGAGGGCAGCCACACAGGAGGGCGCACCAATTTTTCTTCAGAACAAAAAGAATACATTGGGAAAGCGGTTGCGGGAAGAGGGGAAAAAAGGCCCAGTGCCACGCCCCCTACAGGGGACGTAACAGTGATTTAAAAAAACACCTCAGTACACTTAAGCACAGATACCGTCAAATCACAACAACAAGGACACATAGGGAGGGAGGGATGGGGGGTTGGAGGGAAGGGGAAAGGTAACAATGAGGCAGTGAGTCCAAGGAATGCATGAAGTCTGTAATTGTGTGTGTGTAAGTGTAAGCAAGCTGGAGTCAACATCCACAGGCAGGATGGAATTTGTCCTTGTGATGCCCATACTCCTGCTTGGGAGGAGGGAGGGGGGTGGGGTGGGCAAAGCGTCGGTCTGCAGTTTCATCCAGGGCAAAGTTGTAGAGTAGCAGCTGCAAGGCCGCTCTCGGGAGGCCAGATTGAGATAAGAGAGATAGCTTTGTTCCAGACAGAGCGTGTTTTGTCTGCCTTAAGTCCTCAGCAGGTCTCTCAATGGCGATCCAATTCAGCCGAATTGTGTTAATTTCCATCCATCCGAACCACCACCTTCTCCAAGGTGTTCCCCATCACCCTCATGCTGTCACACATCGTCCCCATTTTGCTCCTATGAGCCTCCTGTTTGCTCCACTGAGTCCCCAGTTCACTCACCAGAGCATCATGTTTGCGAGACAACTCGCACAAGGTTTGAGTCCGAGTGTTGATGGCCCAGTAAAGCGTCTCGACAGGCAGCCCGCCACCAGTTGCCCTCAGCCTCCGAATTTCTCGAAAACGTAGGTATCCACCAACTCCAATCAGCAGGAACCCGGTTATCATGAATCCAAATAGGTATAGGTCCTCGACGTCCTCGAGAACTGAGAGGCATAAAACCCTCCAGCTCCTCCAGGCATCCATCGTGAAACCCGCTGGGTGAGTCCCGGCTGGACAAGTTGCAGCCCCAGCAGCTTGTCTTTGGGTAAAGATTTTGTCAATTGCGTTGAGAGACCAGCCGACCAAATCCATGGTTGATGTTAGGCTTTAGGAAGTGAAAATGCAGAAAGAGGCTCTGAGATACGACAGGACAAAGATAGCAAGCAGGCAAAAAGGGCAGGGGAGGGAGCAGAGAGAAACACGTCTGCACTCGCCGAGAGCCGGAAGAAGAAGGCCTGGAATAAAGACGATGTTCGTCTCTTTGCTGTTGTGGTTTTTCTGTTTTTAATGTTTGTGTGTCTGCCTCTGTGTGTGTGTGTGTGTATGTGTGCGTGTGTATTTGTTAGACGTCGCAGTTGCACCCTCTACTGCATCTAGTTTCCCAACTCCATGCCAGAGGAGAGAGAGGACTCTCTGTGCACGTACGTACCGCCCAAGTCAGTTCCTTTTTCAGACTTTTTGTTTATTACAAAAAGATTACTTTCACATTGAGAGAAGAAGAAACTTTTGAGGAATAATGCTGTAAGAGATGATAACTTGATCAGTAAAGCATACGCAGTGGCAAACACGTGGAAGGGGATAAAGAACAGCGCAGAAAGAGCTGAAATGAAAATGGTGCACCGTACTGTTCTTACTTTGCAGCCACTGTTGACTCTGAAATGTAAGTGCATCACACTGCAGCTGATTTAAACATGTTTTGCCTGTCCTTAGCTCACATGTCGATAATGCTGCTCAGTCTACATTAGTTGTTCTTTCCCCAGTGGAGAGTAATTATGGTTTAAAATGAGTGCAGCTGAAAGGTAAATTTATACCCCTGTTGCTGTAAAGCAAAGTGGATACAGAGGAGCTAAAGGAGGGAAATGTGGAGAGTGTTTGAGTGGGTGTGTGCTGTGTATCGTGCCTGTGTAGGGGCGTTGTAGTCAACGCTGAGAAAATCATTATGAGGGCTGAGTTGCTGGACTGTGTGGAAAGTTAAATCCTGTAGATTTTTTTGTGTGTGTCCATGCAGGCTGAGGTCCAGGGGCCGGGGGGAATCGAGAGCAGAGGCTATTTCCTCTACCGGGTAAGTGTGCTTGGGCCGGGATATAAAAGGATACAAATGTCCGACACAATGTAATAAACTCTTGAAATTTCATTTGCATTCACAGCCACGAAATGGAAGAAGATCCTTAGAATATGAATGAGAGAAAGGTAACAGTTCACTGATTGTCTCCAAGACAAAAAGGACGTGTTATGATAACTGGTGGGAGGGGTTTGGGAAATGTAATGCATTGCATTGTAAAGCACCAGGCTGATGATGGCTTTTTATATTCAAATTTCTTCATATTAAACTCCTAATTGTGTATTTCAATGTGTTTTAAAGTGGCTTCCTCTGAGGATTAATGTATAGAGATGTCACAGACCCTGAGACCAGAGCTGCTGAACCATGACGGATCCATACTTCAATCACAGCCCTTTGCCACTGCTGTATAGTGATGTTTGAATGTACACGATGCGTATCAATTAAAATGCCATTCATTTGTCCAAATTTTATTTAGCCTTATGTGTGGTTACTTTGCATTAAAATGGCTATCATGTAAGAGAGAGGACTTGCGTAAATGTGGTTTGCTTGAGTTGATTTGATCACTTTAGGAGGAGTATTCTTCCAGTGCACTTGCCATTTAAGAGAAAACTGTAAACTGTGGTAAAGATGTGAATATTTAACTTTGATAGTTATGTTTTCAGTGAATTTTTGAGAATTCTTGTGCAGATTTTTTTTGTTTAATTTATTTTGTACACAAATATGCAGTTACTTGTATCAACAGCAGATGTCACCATCATTACTCAATAAAAAATTCAGACTTGGTTAGTTCATACTGTAGAATTAGAATTTTGCATAAGTTTTCGAGCTCGGCGAACATGGGATTATCTTAAAAAGATGAAAGATTAAAATGAAAATCGCTGAAAATAGTAGGTAGCATGATAGTAGATTATATGCGAGTGCCTTGTTTTGTTATTCTAAATGTTTAATCAGTTTGAAAGCTAAAATAAAATGTACTATAAATCTCAGCTAAAGTTGGACTTCATTCAGCACGGAAAGGACGACCTGCAGAGTCTTTTCTTAAACAAACAAGCTGACTCTGGCCTTTACAAACTGATGACAGTGGATAGTTTGGAGACAGTTATGAGTAGTAGAAAGTTATTATTTAATGGTGATTAGATTAGTTTCGAGTCAAACACAAGTTTTCTATTGTTTTTTTTTTCATCAGTTTTTTTTTTCCATTGTCAAACATTGCCTCATAAAAAACTTATCAAAAGTGCAAGAAATGTTTACCCAACTGGATTGCATGGTCGGAACCAGTAATTAACCTTTTTTTAAAACTTAAGTTTAGAATATAATTTTAAAATCTTTTAAAAACTTTTTCTACAGGGGATGGACACGAATACGTGCTTTTTTACCCCTTTTTAAATACACGTACACGCTCACAAAATAGTTACCAGCTACCCTCCGACTCCCCTTGTGAACAAAAATGGTAATGCAATGTTTTGAACTGAGTTGCCATGGTGATGGGTACCACCCCGGAGATGTGGGAAACGAAGACACCTTTAACACAGAAAAGAAAATATACACATAAAGTCTTCATTTTTAATATACACGTGTTTGTTTCGATTTCTGCATGCAAACTGCATGAAAATGTAGGAAAGAAAGACAAAAGAATGAAACGGACCTACTTGGGCTGGGTTTCCTGGTTTTTGACTGTTTAAGCTACAAGTGTGTTTTCAATAGTCCTGATTAAACTACTTTCCAGCGAAACAAAAACGAAAGAAAGAAAAACACTTCTTCGTCAGTAAAAGTAAACTTACAAGGGTACATCAATTAAACCACTCATGAGTTTCCTTCCAGCCGTTCCAGGTATATTCAGTGGATATGTGCTCAGAATTTTTGAGCCTCAGGTGTGTTTTGGCCGGAGGACGGGCGGTAGGCCCCTTTGGCAGCCGCTCCAGCTCCACTCCGTCTGCCTCCTCAGCCTGGCGCATTCCACCGTCGGCAGCGCCACTGGGTGCGGGGCTATCCTAATGGAAGGGGGACCTGCGCCGAGGTAAGCAACCACCATTTAATCGGAGAAGCCACTCTCATTTGTTACAGCTCCTGCCTGTGCTGCCAACAGCCTTGAGAGGGAGAAAAAATGAACTGTTTCGCTTTTGCCCGGTGACAGAGACTGGCCAAAGGCCCAGTGACCCACATTCTTATCTAATGCTGCATGTTAGCTTGTTAGCTCTAGCTCGAGGTGGGTTGACACACTTTCCACAGCATATCGCAGACGAGTTGGATACTTTCGAGTTGACATTCTAAATAATTTTTGCCAGCGGAGAAATATTTGTTGCATATTTTCTTTCCCACGCACGAGAACTATATCTGGGTGGAGCATGTCATACGTAGCGATTTGCGATCCTGTGGGGATGCTGGTTTGTTGCTGTTATTGACGTTAGCAAGTAAGCTAGGGGACGGTAGCTTTCTAGCAATCTCTTCCCGGTTCGCTCGCCGGCCGGCATCACTCATCATCACCACTGGATGGACACATAGATGGCTTGTGCTTATATATGTAAGTGAAAGGCGGACTAAAGTTCTGTTGGCGTTATATAGTTTCAGGTCGTTCAATTAAACATAAATTAATTTTTTCTTACATTTATGCGTTTATTTAACCCCCCCCCCCCCCTCAAAGATATACCTGGTATTTCCCACTTCTTCGTTAATTAACGTATCGTTTGAAGCAGCGCTCCCACCAGAATCTCACGCACATCAATTATACGACTTTAATTAATAATGGCAATGAAATTAATTTATCAGTTCTCTTCATTTGTTAAAAAATCGACCTTTTCCAAACGCAAGGATTTTCCCGCAACTATATAAACGCAGCCGGATGTTGTTTCAGAGGCGGTTTTACCTGAAACATGCATGCAAACGAGTTGGACCAGACAACAAACTTGCATCATCTCACATGCGTGTCAGAATTCACTCGCTTGTAAACGTACAGCGTGGCTTTTAAATAAACTGGGAAAGACTAATGCTTGTTTTCCGGGATAACGAGAGTGCTTAAGATTTTGATTGACTCTGGATATCGTGGCAAGACAAGGCTATTTTTAAGTGATTGCGCACAACGTGCTGAGACAAGCCAACAGGGGCCATACAATACATACAGTCCCCGAAATAGATTCATCATGTTTCAAAGCTTCAGCTGCAAGTGAATCAATTATTTACTTTCTTTTTTGTTTGGCTGCTTGTATGTTTGCTTTGTCAGATTACATTGATCAATGCAGACCTCTCTTGAACAGTTTTTTGTATTTTTTTAAACTTGATTTCATGCACTAGATCATCAGAAAGTATATGCCTAGAGGGACTCCTTAGCTTGTACAGCATCCTGAAATTGGGATAACATGGCTCCAGCAATCCAGTGCAGGGCATATTGCCATCATAGGTAGTCATTTGTTTTTGGGAAACTGCTTATTTTTAAGCATGTAGACTAGTTAGAGCCTATCTTTTTCAGGGCATGGAAATATACTCTGCCACCTGTTTTTCCATTGTCAGCATCACAGTGTGCCGCAGGTGAGCAGAGGAAACCAGGGCAGTTTCCCTCACGTGTCGTCTGCTTTTCCAAAGATTGCCACTGTCCCCTGACTATTGTGATTCATTGTTGCTCGGCATCCTGTACACAGCGAAACACTAAGGTTTTAGAGCATCAAACCTTAACAAAAAAAAAGATCTTCGTATTCAGTTGCTGATTGCTGATGTTTCGTAAAGTAGCTATTCTGAAGGAGAAGTGTTCACACGTGGCAGTACAGAAAAGCACCCTTTGTTTGCTCTCCGCAGAGGAGGTGGAACTAATGACACCACCAGCAAAGAGGAGAATGAGGAACACTCCCCGATGACATGATTATGTGCGGTGCCGAATAATGTAATTACACTGTGCCTGTCATATCAGGCTTTTCTGCCATAAAGTAGCCTGTCTTGAGTCAGAGTAAATGTTTTCTGCCTTTGGACAAATTCAGGAAGTTTTCAGTCATTTACAGTCTTGATAAGGCGGGCTGTCTGTAACTGAAAGATTTGTAACCCCATCTGACAGACAGCTAGGGATACTAGTTGTGTCTGTACCTTATTGATAGTGGTGTGCAGCAGAGTGAACAGCTCCTTGCAGATCATGACAGAGACTTTGAGATAGTTGTTAATATTTCAACATGTTTTACAGTTGCTTAGATTAACGATCAGTGCGGTTTAGCTGAGTTGCATTTCAGCTAGACGCTGCTTTTTAAATTGGCTGCTGGCTTATTCCCAGCATACCTGCAGCAAAGAGGAATCCATTTGCGGTGTTCAGTTTTTGAAACCACATTCAAAGCAATTCATCACATTTTGCCACTCCTTACTTTCTCAGTGAGGGATCAGCAAGCATGTAAGTATAGTCTAATTCCCGGATGAGGGGGAGTGTTTTCTTTAGGTTACTTGATTGGTGATGGTGTCAAATGAGGTGGTGGTTATGAAATCTTGGTTATGAAAGACTTCAGTCTGCTTTTCAGTCAGTCACAATTTCTAATTTCTAATGTCCATAGCTATCTAACAAAAGAAGGAAAACATATGTTTGTATGTAGTGTGTTGGTGCACGTTCGCACATGTTTACATGCATCTGAAAGGTTCAGTTGTCAGACTAGAACAATAACCTTTCTTTGCTTTGTGACTGTGTGGTTGTCACTGTTCTGGGCTGAGAGAAATGTTTTTTATCTGAAATGCTCGGCTGCCGCCAGGCTGTTGCGAGAATTGAATCGTAATTGTAAACGCCTCTGAAAAAGATGACATAGATAATTGTACTCATGCCACATGCCGTGCTTATTTTCTGAAGAGTGGCCAAACTGCCGCTCACACGCCACAGTCATAACCTTTCCACATTTTGGTGGAGCGGCACAGACCCGCTGCCCAGGAAAAATGCCGTGCCTGGAGGATCAAGCGGCAGTGTGAGAAGTCTGACACATTCTGCATCCATCTAGAAAAAGCCTCTTCCCTATAAGCCTTCTTTACCGAGCACCATAGATGCATTGTGTTTTCCACATCCTTGAAATATAACTGGTTTGTGGCCTGGCCTCTGGCGGGCCTTTTCTCCAGCAGTATAAACTAAGACTACGGATGGCTAGAACAAACCCTCTGCAGACTGCAGGTCTGGTTTTCCTGTGCTATTTTTGGTAGGACATTGTTTTGTTTCCAAATATGCCGTATACATAGCTTTTTGCGGCTGCATTCACACTGCAGCCTAAATCTGATGTTTTTTTTGGAATCTAAATTTCACAGTTTTTCACGCAGCAGGATGCAGAAATGTGATGTTTTTTGAGCATCAGTGACTTGGCAGCATTTGCTGCATTTGGTTTCATTAAAAAAAAAAAGCATATCGGATTTAAGATCACACATCCAAGCGGCCCTGGGTGGCATTTGGAAAAATCTGATCTGCGTCGTTCACACTGTTGTTAAAAGATGGGACACAGGTCGCTTTGGGGCCAAAAACTCGGATTTGGGTTAATTCATGTTGCAGTGTGAACACAGCCTAAGTTAACCTCTTTGATAAAGCATGTAGGCTTTTAGAAACTGATTTAAAGTCCTCCACCAGCAAATAGTCAGGTTTGACTGATCAACTCTTTCCCTCAGCTAGTCTATCCACTACATTGGGCTTCCTGAGCTCTCGTTTCTTAATGAAATGTAAAGGCAGTGCTTTCTTAAAAAGACTTCTGTCTTAGTGTTGAAAACCAATTTTACCTGTGTAATGCAGCAGATGATTCCATATGATATGTTAACAGTGAGAGAGAGGCACAAAAGTGGACGAGGAGATTGGGCTGAGAGAAATGAATGAGTGGTGTTAGGAGAACCAGTAGAGTCCCTTTTCCAATC